AAATCACTCCCCGAGATAAAATGGTCCAAAATCTTGGGGTTTGTGAACAAGTCCAAGAGGTTTATGCAGGGCACGTGAACCGACCAAGTCCCGGATGGGAGTTTTAGGGATGGGGTATGAGTCTACCCAGGCATTCAACCCCTCGGGTCTTGGTCGCCCACCCTGCATAATATATATATTCTAATGATGGAATTAATTAAAATAAAATAATTGTAATAACTGCTGCCACTTTATTTTGCCGTATCGAGTATGTTAACCGAACAAAAGAACTTCTTTAACTTTTAATCCGTTTAAGATTGCAAAAGACCAAGGTTCTTTGTCTCGCTTTTTTGCCTTAACTGTCTACCGATTCAATCTAACGGTGGGGAAAGCGAGGATTCGCGATAAAGGGAATCCCTGATTAAAAAGATGATTCACACAACGTGCAACTAACTGGTTTCCGAATTATCAAGGATAGGCTTTTTTCAGAAGGTAAACTAGAAGGTGAAAATTATGGGGGTTTGTTTGTACGGTCAGGAAATTTCCATACCTTAAAATACATCGGCTAATTTTAGACCGCATTTTATTTTGAACAACATCAAAAGCTTCAATGATTAAAGATGCATGGTTGGATTTATAAGTATTCTAAGGAACCACTGTCTATTTATTATTGGATATCCATACTCTTTCATTAAAAACAAAGTTTAATGGCATGGCTGATTTGGATGCTACAAAAATACGAAAAGAACAATATACATTTGTTCGTTGTTGGAATTTTGATAAGGTATAACATATATAACAACGTGGAACTTGGACTTTTGGATATTAAATAAATAAAACTAGCCAGACAAAATTTAATTTACAGTCTTGCCTTGTCCTTATAAAGTCAGTCAGGCCGCATGTTTGTATAACTTGGTCAAGTTCACGACAGTGCATTGGGTCTGCCTTGAGAATACAAACAGGAAATTGAACTGGAGTAGATCATGGCCTATTTTTTTCTTCCTCCAAAACAACCAGCTATTAATTTATTTTTAATTCGCAAATATTTGAAATTTTGTACGTAGACGTACATTATTTGTTATGTTAAATTCGCTTGTATTTTCGAAATTGGCTGAATTCGGGCATATTCGTCTGATTTGATCGTCGTCTGATTTGACGTCAACGAAATTAAATTTTTCCATCACACACATGAATAATAGTAATGTAGTAGCCTGAAAAACGGCTAGGAGTTATAATTAAAAATAATAAATACATCATAGATTTATTGATCATAATGTAAGCTTTCTCGTAAGGTTGTGTGATGGTATGGTACTGTGTAATAAAACTTTTGTTTAACTAAGGTTTAAACTTTAATAGTTTGTTAGTTCTTTATAATAATTATGTAAACAGCGCTAATTAAATGTAGAGCATTTCCCGTAAAACAGAAGTTATATGGATAAACTACCCCGACATAATTATAGGCCTCCCCCAATTTTGTTAGTTATTATTTTTATGCAATTTAAAATGTATCAAAATGTTTGTTTACGGATTAAGCAGAAAGAAATTTTGCACGTGGCACAAGTATAGACCACTCTCACTATTTATTGAAATCTCTCGCTTGTGTTATGTTAATTATGTTGTGTTTTACCCAGTTGGTAGTTAATTACCCAATATTATTTGACTTTTTTACTTATACCACCTGAGAAAGTGTTATAGGAGAGAAGGCGTTTATTAACGCGTTCCTAGATAAAAATTTCATAGTTTCAAAACTTGGAGGGAGGAAGGAGGAAAGAGCCTGAGAGAGAGAGTGAGGGGAGGGGGAGAGAGAGAGAGAGAGAGAGAGAGACGGATGGATGGAGGGATGAATGGAGGATTGGAGGGATGGATGGATGATTCGATGATTGGATGATTGAATCGATGGTGGATGATTGGATGGAGGGATGGATGAATGATAGGATGGATAGAGGATTGGATGGATGGATGGAGGATTGGATGGATGGATGGAGGATGGCTGATTCGATGGATGGATGGAAGATTCGATAATTAGATGATTGAATGGATGGTGGATGATTGGATGGAGGGATGGATGGATGATAGGATGGATGGCTGATTGGATGGATGGATGGATGATTGGATAGATGAATGGATGGATGGATGATTGGATGGAGGGATGGAAGATTCGATAATTAGATGATTGAATGGATGGTGGATGATTGGATGGAGGGATGGATGGATGATAGGATGGATGGCTGATTGGATGGATGGATGGATGATTGGATAGATGAATGGATGGATGGATGATTGGATGGAGGGATGGATGGATGGAGAATTGGATGGATGGATGGAGGATGGTTGAATGGATGGATGGATGGAAGATTGTTTGGCTGGATGGATGGATGATTGGATAGATGGATGGATGATTGGATGGATGGATGATTGGATGGAGGTATGGATGGATGGATGATAGGATGGATGGCTGATTGGATGGATGGATGGATGATTGGATAGATGAATGGATGGATGGATGATTGGATGGAGGGATGGATGGATGGAGAATTGGATGGATGGATGGAGGATGGTTGATTGGATAGATGGATGGATGATTGGATGGATGGATGATTGGATGGAGGTATGGATGGATGGATGATTGGATGGAGGGATGGATGGATGGATGATTGTAGGAGGGATGGATGGATGATTCGATGATTGGATGATTGAATCGATGGTGGATGATTGAATCGATGGTGGATGATTGGATGGAGGGATGGATGAATGATAGGATGGATGAAGGATTGTTTGGCTGGATGGATGGAGGATTGGATGGATGGATGGAGGATGGCTGATTGGATGGATGGATGGATGGAGAGATGGATGGATGATTCGATGATTGGATGATTGAATCGATGGTGGATCATTGGATGGAGGGATGGATGAATGATTGGAAGGATGGATGATTGGACGATTGGATGGATAGATGGATAGATGAATGATTGGATTGAGGGATGAATAGATGGTTTGTGTGTGTGTGTGAGAGAGAGAGAGAAAGAGAAAGAAAGAGAGAGAGAGAGAGAGAGAGAGAGAGAAAGAGAGTGAGAGAGTGAGTGAGAGAGAGAGAGAGAGAGAGAGAGAGAGAGAGCTTGTTTCAAAAATCTTCAAAAAATTCATGTAGAAACAGGTTGAAAATCATTTACAGTAATGAAAATCGGTTTAATTTGGATGGTCCTGATGGATTTCATTATAATTTTCATGATCTTCGGTAGGAAAAAATATTTTAAGCAAACGTCAAATGGGTGGAGGCGGTGTCCGGGCTGGGATAGGGTGCTATTGAAAATATAAGTAGAAATTTTGTTCTGCAAAAATGTACTAAAAAACCAATATATTGAAATAATAGTTCACATTTTCAAGACGAAAGTACATCTTCCTGCATGAAAACAAAAAAATTTTCAGCTTTGCTCTGCCCAGCCAATTCACCAATTGATAAATGTTGGCGAATGCTTAGCCGTGCTGTTTATGCACAAGGTAAGCTGTTCAATTGAGGAGCTCAAGGATTGCATCTTAGAAAAGTGGGACAACATCCGACAAAAGTTTACGACATTTTTTTACACCTACTCCAAAATTAAGTTTAGGAAAGAAATTTGGATTAAAAAAAAAAATTCAAAGGAAGTTTTGGATCCTACAACTACTACCCCTAAACTTTTGTTGCGTTGGATTTTTTGTTATTTACTCAATAAAATTTGTTACCACAAAGCTGATTATTGCTCGTTATTTAAAATTTTAGACAAACTAAATTAATTATATTAACAATTATTGAAAAATATGCGGCCTATAATTTTGTCCGGGGGGGGGGGTTAAATTATTTTTGACTGGATTTCATGGTAGAGGAGAATATATTTTTTTTAAATTCCAAATTTGTCGTTACCACTAAATAAATATTACGGTCAAAATATAGTAGAAAATCGACGTCCGCAATAAATGCCAAGCGGATTCTAGTCAAGGCCGAGGTCGAAGTTCGAGGTGGAAGTCGGATTACAAATTCATATGGCTTTAAGTCCATTTTGATGGGTCCGGAAGTTTGTAAATCTGATTCAAAAGTTCCTTGGTTGACGAAAAACCCAAAAAGTTCTCACCGCGGTCAAATTTACGACACGAGCCTTGACATATGCAAAAATGATCGTTAAAAATAAAATATGCTCTTTCTATTCACGACATGTGGAGGCTGACGACATATTTTACTGGTGTACTTTGCTGAGAAGATATAAAAGTCTAATAAAATTCTTAAATAGAATGTATATTTATTGTTCAAAAGTTAAAATATTTCACTTAGAAAATCACCCAAAATCGGCTCAAGTTATAAATTTATTCATCAGTTACTGTAGTTTGCTTTCATTAAACTCAACGATAACCATCTACGGTGCTATTTAAACAAAGCCTCATTCCATTGTTTTCTCGAGCTTCCCTCGAGTAAAGGAATTTGCTTAAAAATAAAATAATCCTTAATTTAATGGACTTCACTGGTTTTCATCAAATCGTGTTGGGAATTTCACTATAAAACGTTTTATTTTTTAAACAGGGTTTAACAGCTTAAACATAAAATATCGATTAACATGTACCGAGTTTCAAGGATTTTTGGCCAGTGAATTCCTCAGCATTTCATTTAATTCTTATTTTTCAGGCGCTATTTTTATCTTTAATTCATAAAGGACTCAATGAATTTTCCATTACCTCGGGGAATTTTTATGCTTTATGAATGTGAACAATGTATCCGATGCACTTTTGCAATGGTCGGTAAGTAATATGTTAGGCTGAATCATCACCTCGATCTATGTGGAACAAGGGCAATGTGCATTGAGGCCTTTGAAAGCGCAAAAGCGTAAAGAAGAGGTATTGTGGTATTAATCGAGAGTGGCAATGCCGGTGCAAGGATGAAAAACCTGAACATAATTAAAATTAGATGTTACAAGAGATTGGTTGTAAAAGTGTAGGGTTTTATTTGTTTTTTTAAAAGACTTTTCAATAGTTTTATACTCAGCGTCTTGCTCCAGATTCAACTCATTACGAAATACGGTTATCCGGCAGAGAGCCACAAGGTAATGACTGAAGACGGCTACTACCTCACGATGCATAGGATACCTTACGGTCGAAAGGCCAACGCAAAGACCAAACGTCCCGTTGTCTTCCTTCAGCACTGTATCATGTGCAGCTCCGCCGTATTCGTCCTGACCGGCCCTGGGAAGGGTCTCGGTAAATATATATACAGGTTTAGACTGAAAACATTTCTGTAACTTTGCGTCTTCTAGGTTTCATCCTGGCCGACAAGGGTTACGACGTCTGGATGGGCAACGCTAGAGGTACAAAGTATTCAAAAGGACATCGCAATCGTCACATGAGAAGCGCCAGATACTGGGAATTTAGGTCTGTCTTCGCCCGTATATTAAAAAAAATGTACTTATTATTTGGACATTTTCAGCTGGCACGAAATGGGAGTGTACGATCTCCCTGCGGAAATAGACTACGTGATCAGCCATACCAACCAGTCCAAAATCTTTTATACCGGTCACTCCATGGGTACGACTATGATGTTCGTCCTCTTATCCGAGAAACCAGAATACAATTCTAAAATCAGATTGTTCGTCGCTCTATCTCCGGTGGCGTACATGTCGCACATGAGGAGCTTGGTCTTCAGGATCGTCTACGGCCCTCTAGCTGTACGTATAAAATTCTCTGGGCTTAACGCATCCGCTGACTATTTGAATTTCAGTCCTTGATGAAAACCTTCGGCTTTCAAGAGTTCGTCCCTCACAACGGTATCATCTCGGTCATGTCGAGGATCATGTGCGAGAACAAGGCGATGTCTTCCCTAATCTGCACAAACGCGATGTTCCTCATTTCCGGTTACGACTCCGAACAAATGAACGTGGTATGTTCTTCAACATTTTTAAATTCAAATACTATTAAAAAAAAAAAAATTAGAAAGACCGTAACATTGCAGACTATGCTCCCTGTAATCGTGGGCCACATCCCGGCGGGAACTTCTATCTCCAGTTTGGTCCACTACGGGCAAAACATGATCAATGGTAAGCCGACATTTAAACAGTGACGAAATTGAAACTATACCCATTATTTCAGGCGATTTCAGGAAATTCGATGTAGGAAAGACCATGAACAGAAGACGGTACGGTTCCGCTGTTCCTCCTAGCTATAACATTTCGAAGATCACGGCCCCTGTAGCTTTCTACAGGGGGAACAACGATTGGCTTTCCGATCCTGTGGTATGCACTTCAGTCAAAACAAAACGTGCCGTCTTTCTCACCTTTCTTTTCTTTTCCAGGACGTACAGAGGCTCAGCGACCAGATACCGAATTTGGTACATAATTACAACGTCCCCCTGCCCGCCTTCAACCACATGGATTTCCTTTTTGCTAAAGATGCCTATAAATTGCTCTACAAAAACGTCTTAGAAATTTTGAAAAAATTTTGATTTAGCATTTGTACAAATTTTGAAAAAAAAAATTCTATTTAACGAGATTGTGATCTCTGGCTGTGATTATTATATATTGACGCGTTATAGCGTGTTTAAAAAAAATATTATTATTAAATATTATTATTTAGTGATTCCTAGTGTACTTTTATTTCACGCCAATCAGAAATTGAAAAAATTTATTTTTACTCTCATTTTTAAACCATTTTCTGAAGACCTGATTTAAAAAAAAAAAAATCCATTTAATCATAGCCATTAAGATATTTATTTTACAAAATCATAAGCCAACGTATAAAACCAAAATAGTTGTGTAGTGAAATGAAAGTAGATTTTGGAGAAATTATGTTCATGTTTGTCGTACTTTCATACTTTTATTTAAAACTTATATGTGTACTGTATGTGTGTGTGATTTTGGACTTAAATCCTTACTTGACTGCTTGATTTGCGAATTTAGTATGATGAGGTTTTTTGTATAATAAGTGAAAATGTTTAAAATTACCAGGTCTTTTTATTTTAATGTAACAGACATCTCCTCAGTAATTTATTATTATAAATTATTTATTTATTATTATAAATAAAACATTTCTGAAAAATTACTTAAATTATGTATATTAATGTACAAATATAATGTCAAAAATTTTTTTTAATGCTTTGAATTGTTAATTGTATTGTTAAATTAAATATTAAGGTATAGTGTGCAGTTGGAAGTTGCTGACAATATATAATTTAAAGATTCAACTGTGTATTTTTGTTTTTCAATTAAAATAAGAAGTGTAATGTTTAAAGGGGTGGGTCGCTTAAAAATATTAGAGTAACCAACTGTACATGGCATAGGCAAAACCTGCTGATGCTGCCAGCTTGGTGAAGACGTCCAGCCAGAAAAACCTGCAAAATTTATTTTTAAGTTAGAACTTTTTAACATATGAATGTGAGTGTGGGTTAAGTTTAATAATTAAATATTTTTGATGAGTAGTCTTGCCTATTGAAATTGGCTCTAGATTTCTCCAAATTTTCTATTGGTTCATTGAGAATGAACCGTTTCCCCTGTATGATGCCCATCTTGAAAAATTCTCTCACGTCTATGTTTTCAAAATTAAAGTCGAAGTCTTCCAAACAGCTAGCTGGTACTTCTTTGTTCAAGCCTAGGAATTTTTCGTTGTGTATGATCCACCTCCTTGTCGTGAAATAGGAAAGGACGAGCATGGCGTTGAGAAACTTTTTCTGAATCTTGAGAAGCCTGAAAAACGTATCAGCGTTATACTTGTGTCGATTGCAGTTGCAATACAAATACAGACATAGGCTTCTTGTTCATGACGCGTAAAATCGAGTCTACAAGCAAAGCAGGCAAAAAGTGTTTGTAGAAACAGGAAATGCGAAATACAGTCAGGTTTTTTGTAAAAGTGACATGTGGGTACCAGAGGATTTGTTCCATCGGGTATTTTTTGTACAGCTCCTGGCCAATATTATTCGTCTCACCCACAGTAATGCTTTTTGACATGGAAGACGCATTGTAGATATCCGTCGTTAATTTGCCCTCTCTGAAGATAAGAAACAATTGTGAGATTCCTTCTTGAAGTCAGGGATGAACTTCGTTTCCGACCATCCTGGTCTGCCTATGCAAGCAAGTATTCAGCTGGAGATGTCCAAATTCAGAAATATAAAGAGCGAACCACCAAGACTGGGCAGACCAAGAGAATTGGAAACAACCAAATGGCAAGTACATTTGTTAAGCCAAATGTAACAATACCATACACAAAAATAATTACAAATTTTATGTAGTAATTTCAGTTAATTGTCTATAAAACAATGAAATTAGGATTTTAGTAAATTTTTCAATAAATACTAAAATTGTTAATGACAAACATGTATCAATCACTGGCCTCTGTTTTAAAAATGCCTAAATAATTTTAAAAAGGCAAGCTGTTTTAATTTTTGTTTAAATATTACGAGGATATTTGTGTACCCGTTCTCAGTGCCTTTTTTCCAGGCAGCCACGATCATTGCCTTGATAGCTATGTCAACAGCCATGTAGTCAGGTCTTATGTTAACGTCGGTGATTTGGCAGCGGATGGCACCCTTTGCGATCCCAATCAACAATCCGATGGGGCCGTTTTCGTTGTCGATCCACCCTGGGACTGGCTCCTTCCATGAACAGATCACTAAAAATATTTTTATTTAAAAATAATTTATTTTTCAAAAAGAATTCACTTACCGATTGATGGCCTGAGAACGACAGAGGGCAACCTATCCTCAACATCTTTCACCACCGTCTCAGCCAATTGTTTCGTGAATGTGTACGTGTTTACCATTGGGTTTATGTACCTGACCAACGAAATACATTTTAAAGCAATAAAAGCTATCAAAATTTTACCCCAGAAACCTTGAAAATTGACTTCATTCTGAAAAAATAGTCTTTATTTTCTATTTTAAGAATTGGATATTCTTGCATCTATATATTTGCACGTATGTATATAATACAAATTTTACATCAGAATTGATGTCTTTGGAACTTAGAGAGGTATAAATTTAAATAATTGTTCAAGTTGTTTTTACTTGGCAGTCAAGATGCGTAAAGTGTTCAGATCAGAGTTTTCGACTATTTTCACCAGCGTCTTCCAGTCGGCAAGAGGAGGATAGAATTTTTCCTCGATTTCTTCTTTATAGCAGTTTGAGTACGCTGTAGAAACATGGACAAAGGCCTGAAATAGAGCAATACAAAAACAAAATTGATTTTTTTTTTTTTTTTGAATAATGCTACAAACTCATACTGGCTAATTTTACTGTCTAACTTAATTAAATGAAATATAATACACAGATTGATTTGTCTCGGTCATACAGAATCAACCAGTGAGCCTACTATAAAACAAAATTAGTAAATATTCAGATAATTATGAAATATACTTATAAACTCTAAAACAAATGCATGAAATGCTTAAAAGCAAAAAATCAATGTACCTACCTTCATGGTATTGCATGCCAGAGCAAAATCAACGGCATTCTTCGTTCCGATGATGTTACTTTGTACAGCACTGTCCAGTGACTCCACGAACCTGACTGACGCTGCCACATGGAAGACGATGGATACCGAATTTGTCATCTCTTCGTAGCAGGCATCAGACAGACCGAATTTCTTCATTGTAATATCGCCGTCTACCACTTTGACTTTTTCCATATTGCCTGGAACTTCTTCTTTCACCCTGTCGAAAAGCTATAAGCAAAATTATGAGTTTTTTGTTGAGGTCTGCAAGGTGGTGCCTATGAACAATCCTGATTTGGCTGGTTTGATCAGGTGTGCTTCTTTGCTTCTGGGTTTGTCTAAACTAGGCAGACCAGGATAATCAGTAACAACCAAACTACTTTATAAGCTTTATAAGTATAATTTATTTGATCAATGAACAATTTAAGTTTTAAAATTGTATAAATATAATAAATGATAATAAGAAAGAAACTGAAAGAGAATGTACTTTTTCAAAATACAGACCTACATTAAATCTGCATAGTATAACTTTATGTGCTATTTATGTAATAAAGAAAAAAAAATATTGTAAATCATACCACAAGTTTTGTAATTGTGTCCCATCTTTCCTGGGCAGACTGGCCTCTTTTTGATCTAATGACAATATAAACATTGCCAATTTGTGGACACGACCGCAGCAGCTTTTCGACGAGGACTTTGCCCATGAAGCCTGTCGCTCCGGTGACCAGGACAGAACGCCCGGCGTAAAATTGAGGTATGGGCTGTTCCATGTCTCCTGGAACAACGTCAAGCAGTGAGCAGTGTGCCGTAGAACGTTCACACATTCTGATGAAAGGACAATTGAATTTATCCTTGTAATTGCCCTGTGTAATTTAACATTTAAGTTTCTCACTGGGAGTATAATTAACTTTTAAACAGTTTTATTACATATTCATACATCAAATTATTGGAATGATTGACAGTGTTATTTGATTTTAACCCGTAATAATTCAATTAATATATATTAAATAAATGATGTGTGTTAAAAATTTAATTTATGTGTGTTAATGATATATTACATAAGAGCTATATAATAATTCACTAAATATGGTCTTTGAGATGGCCATTTTTCATTTTCAAGAGAAAATATTTTTTCTAAAGTATTCAAATATTGTGTAAAATTGACCATTTTTATAATTGGCCAACTCATGATGAAGTAAAAATTACATTAATAATTTTATATAAACCTATAATTCTTTGCAATACATAAATAATAAACTTTCTTTAAAATAGCTCCAGATAGTCGATATTTGGTCGTTTTAATTTATACATTTTGGATTTTATTTAATTTATTTTTATGCTGTTGTTATGGTGGCCACATTGAACCCATGCAATTAAATAATATTTAAGCTTCTTTGGCAACACTTAAAAGTTAAATTATAGTTCAATGACGCCGAAGAATTCTAGAGGAAGTTGACCAAATGAAAAATGCCCACATATCAGTAATTAAATGTTGAGTCGAAAGTTAGGAGTTATTTTACACGCATAGCTCCCACTGTCTTACTCGCAATGAATATGTTATTCATCGACACTGAATCTTAAGCGACTTAAGGTAGAGGTAGGGTGCTTATGTAACGACCCCTACATGGGACAAATGATTTATTTCACTTTCTCATGTTCTATCCCAAATTAAAAAAAGGAACAAAGCCTTTTGCATAAATGGTGAAAATTGGAAAATACCTGTGTTTCTGTTAATCAGCCCATCTAGGGCCAGAATGATTATTTATTACATAGTAACAAAGTATATTCACAACAAAATTAATTAATTATTATTATTTAAATTAATTATACTTTTTTATCTAAGGGCTTGGTTCAGATGAAAAAGCTAGTGTCATGAGCAGGACTCGAACCCACATCATTCAGCTTGTTCGAGTCTCTCTTGAGACGCTTTTTCATCTCAACCAAGATCTTAGATAAAAAGTAAATTAATTTAAATAACCAATATGGTGATTATTACTATTAAATGCACATATGAATTATTAATTTTTTTTTAACCTGCATTAAGTTGCACCTATTTACTGTTAGAGATACTAGGTCAACTGACCCACAACGATTTGCACAATCAGTAGTAATGTACATCTTTTACTTTGTAAATTAAACAAAAATAGTGTGTAAACAAAAAAGTAACTTACTCATAAGTAAACTCAAGAAAAAATTGTTTAACTCAAAAGTCTTATCTATTATAGCACAAGAACTTGTAACTTTAAAGTTCAATTTCTTGATGTTTTATTTAACTCAAAAGCTGAAGATTTTTATCTCTTGTTAACTCATTCTATTAGAATAGTTTATTAAGTAAATGAACAAATAAATTAAGTGCAAACTTATATTTGGTGTGTGCAGGAGAACTATTTACTTGCGATTCGCTCGTTTTTATTGCAAGATGTAAACATAAAAAGAAAATTTATGATCAAGGAAAATCATACTACTCAATTGTCAATCATTGTGACATCTCATACATTTTCAGACTGTCTAACGCTCAAGAAACAATAACTATTTAGTAAGATTTATTCTATGTATTTATTTCATAAATGCGGATCAATTTCATTACGCATTCAAGTAAAATATAAGGTTAAAAAATTGAATTCTTAAACTTTTTCATAAATGATTGGCTTTAATTAGTAGTAAATCCAAATATCCTTCAAGTGTCTTCTATTTATCATTTGATTTCATCAAGACTGACAACATGCAGACATTCAGAGAAGGCAGTGAATGTAATCATCAAAAGAAAATATAAAGTGAGAGTAAACAAATCAATTTTATATGAAAATGATAAAATTTATTTACTTTCTCTAAATTATAAAATTGCTGACAAATATTAAAATAATTGTTGAAAATATTATTTATTATTTAAAATACTTACCTTTTTGGCTTTTACAAATTGTCACTATTCTTATTTAATTGAACTAACCGACACAGTCTATAGAAAACTTTCTGCTATGGTCTAACAGCATCCACTGCTGTCTTTCATATAAAGTTTTAAGTGCTACAATGTCCTATATCTTCATTTAATGACTTGCTATTTTTGCATGAATACAAATTATACCTTTCCCTCAAATGACTCAATGGACCAATTCCCCCACCAGGAGGGAGGAAAAGAAAGGTCTGCTATTTCCTTGACTTGCAAATTTTTAACAGTAGAAAACTCATGAAGAAACAGGACTGTTCCATTTCAATAACTGCTCTAATTCCTTGGATTACACTTTGCTTGGTGCTTTTTAAACAGTGTAAACTTGACAAGGAGCGCTCTAAGAGTTATTCTGTTTCAATCTGACCTGCACGTTTTTAATTTTAACCTATTCGTATTAAAACTATGATAGAATTTACCAAATTACTATTCAAATTATCCAAGATAACAACTTACTTGTGTTAGTCTAGTAAAAAAATAATCCACAATGAATTGTCCTGCTTGTACGTCTTAAGTGCCATGTTTATTCAATGTGATAATTTCAATACAAATTTATTCTGCCCTTCTGACCTCAGGTGTTATATTTCCATTCCACGAATACTAACAAGGATAACATGCTCAAACATGGACTCGCCTATAAATCAAGCAATTTAAATGAAAGTTAAAGAAATGTGTACAGCTTTTTGAAAATCTTCATTCAGTATAAGTCATTAATAAATGATGACCAAAACAAAAGCTGGAAAAATCATAAAATCATAACTTCTCTTTCTTTCCTTTTTTTAAATTTATAAAGGCAAAGAACCAAGAACCACTAAGGGTCATAATTGCCTATGCAGTCTCCTTACCACATGCGTAGAGCCGGAGGGGCCACGGCCTCAGATGGAGGAAGCCCAGAGAGCCTGCCACAATGCAGAGGGAAGAGCAATATAATCAGAGTGATGTAATCGCTGTGGTGGTTCTCTAACCATTATATTATTATATTAACTTAAAGATATACAATGGCCAATCCTTAATCTTGTGAGTACCACTTCTTCCCTATGGTTAGTCCTAATTGAACTATGCCAAGGTTTAACCGTTAGTTTTATTTCCCTAAGCTTATTTTCACAATCTTTTCCCCAGACCAAATTTCTAATTTTATATGTGAAATAAAGTAGTCTTGGAACTTCTATTACTAGCTGCTCAATCTGTAATTTCATTTCCAGCAAAGCTACTGTGACCAGGAACCCATAAGAAAACATAATTTCTCATTGAATCTAGAAAGAATCCTTAATACGACAGAAAGCTTGTAAATTTAAGTAATAGTGAAGCTTATTTAAACTATAAAGATAAGGCCCAAATAAGGTTAGCTTGTAACAAAGAAACGGGTTTTTATTTTAGTTGTCACGTTTATATTTTAATTTTGCCTTCAACTTGTTCTATTTGTAACCTTGGCGAGTGAAAGAGTAATGGATGTTCCTTTTTAACCCTCTCTGAGTAGTCTGCGGGGTGATGAACCTACAATTTGATCATTACTGATACTGCTCTGCTTAACCTTGCTGTATGGGTTTGTCAGAAGACACACTGAAGATGGCAAAATGTCAACATGAAAATGACTAAATTTATTTAAATGTTCAACTATACACCATTAAAGAAAAGAATATAAACATTCTGAGCAAGACGATGTTAAATTGTCTCCTACATAAAACACTCAAGTGACTGATGTCTTCTATTTCTTTTCCAGTGCTTTGAAACTTAAGGCATTTATACTGGAAGAAGAAGGAAAGAGAAATCTCTGTAAAAATTTTGCCACCACCATCTTCTTTATTAATAGAAAGAGAAATATATTTATTTAAAAAAAAAATCACAGTAGGGCTTGGCCCGTTTAAAATGAGAAGAAAAATATAAATTAATTAAAAAACAAAAAGTTTATAAATTATAATGCAAGAAATAATTAATAAACAAAATTTGTATGATATTAACAGTTGAATATGAATGAAGCGAAGAAGTAGGTATAGAGGAAAAGTAAAGAAAACAGCAACAAGATCTGTTAAGTTAGTTTGAACAAATAATTTGCAAAAAAGTTGAAAGTCACCTGAAGGGAGTGGGCCAACTAAATATGCTGCAGAATGGAATTCTGCAGACGTGCCCCAGCAACTCTAAATGAATTCCTCATTTCCTTCATAGATTTGGATCTATGATGCAAGCTTTTTATAATATTTAAACCATGGGAAGAATTAAAATCGAATGTAATGAATAAGTATGATGGGCAGAGCTTATTTTTAATTTTAAATAAGTAAATAAGAGATCGGAGTTTAAGGTAACCAAATAAATTAATACCCAGAATGAACTTGTCATATGTTGAGATTACAATTGGTAGGTAATAAAGACAGTAGAACAATAATATCAAGAAAATGAAACTTTTTTTGCTGTTTTATTGGATTGCTGTTTTCTCAAGTGCAAATTATAAATATAAATTGTGAAGTTTATTTAATTAGAAGAAGAAAGTAGATGTAATAACTAAGACAATTCAGTGGGTTGAACTCCTTTGCTCAAGAAGAATTTATTACAAGTCTTATATCATTGAAAAATATTTTATAATACGAAATGAGATTTGATACAAACTGTATTTAAAATAAAATGAAATAAAATAAAACAGGAACTAAAATTAAGTCTTTAGAAACACCAACTGTATAAAATATATGTTAAACCAAGCGCAAAAACTATCTTCAATGAGACATCAAGAAAGTACAACCTGGAAAACAATCAATATTGAATTAAAAGTGACAAAAATACAGTCGACAAAGATAATTTACCAGAAATGCTTTCTCTTTGCCATTTCTATATTTTGCGTGGTCTCATTAAGAAGGAGGTGACGTCCCTTTTCAATGCACACTCTTAAAAACTCTTCCACATCACCGTTTTCATAGTTAAAATCAAACGCTTCATAATCTTCGGGCGTTATTTCCTTGAGAAGGCTGGTAAAGTTGTCATTGTGAAATGTCCATTTTCTCAATGTAAAATATTTCAACGCGAGGGTTGCATTCATGACCTTTTTCTGAATTGGAAGTAGCCTGGAAAGGTTAGATTTTATAATTTCTTCTTCACTCACTCATTTAACACTCTCCCCTCTCTCAATCTCTTATCTATCTCTATCTTTATTTATCTATCTATCCGTATAACTACATCTCTCTCTCTCTCTCCCTCTCTCTCCCTCTCTCTCTCTCTCTCTCTCTCTCTCTCTCTCTCTCTACTTCCCTCTCTCCCTCACTCCCTCTATCACTAACTCACTCACTCTATCTCTACCTATCTATTTATGTATGTATTTATCTATCTATCCATATAACTACATATCTCTCTCTCTAATTTTTATCTCTCTCTCTCTCCCTCTTTCACTAACTCACTCACTCTATCTCTATCTATCTATCTATTTATGTATGTTTTTATCTTTCTAGTTATTTCTCTACCCATCTTAATATAATTCTCTCTATTTATCAATCTGTATTTATGGATCTGTATCTCTTTATTTGTCCCTCTATATCTCTCCTCGTATTTTCCCCTCTCACCCAATAATTCACTCACTTATCCGAGACACACTCACACACACTTCAGGCACACATAAAATAATTTGAACTTCATCCTAAGCATTTGAAGAAATAAAAAATAAAAATAAATTGTACAAACTTACAAAGGAGGTTTCTTTAAAACCATAAGAATGGTGTCAATCGTTAATGCTGGTAAAAAATGCTTGAAAAAAGAGGCAATTCTGTATACAGATTCGTTTTTTGTGACTTGTACTCTTGGATACCAGAGCACCTGCATTATAGGAAACTTGTCTTGCAATCCTAGGCATAATTCTCTCAATTCTTTCAGTGTTATATTTTTTGAACCCGTACACGAGTTATAGATGCTGACAGTCAATTTTTCTTTCCTAGACAAAATGTATTCTCTTACTTTATATGTTCACCTGCACATGTCTAAATTATATATTTTTTAGACTGAATATCTCACATACAGATTATGGGTTCTGCCTTTTTTCCAAGAGGCAATGATCAACGCATTGATCGCTACATCCACAGGCATGTAATCCGGTGTTGCATCTTCATCTGCGAGTTGAACGCGAACAACTCCTTTTGCCATTCCAATAAACATGCCAGTCGGCCCATTCGCATTGTCAATCCATCCTGGGTATGCTCCCTTCCAAGACGATATTACTGAAATTTAATTTTTATCATTAATTAATGAAACCTTTGTATACAATGTAATTGAAATCACCTATTGAAGGTCTAAATATAACTATGGGTATTTTCCCTTTTGTTTCGTTCACAACCTGTTCTGCCAAATGTTTACTGAACACATAAGTGTTGGGCATTGGAGAAATGAATCTGTGATACACAAAAATTATAAAAGATTTAATAATAAACATAATTATCAGTGTATTACTTCTTAGTTATAATTTTCAGTGTGCTTGGATCTGTATCTTTTATAATGTTCATTGCCTGACGCCAGTCCATAATTGGCGGGTAGACTTTTTCTTCCACTTCGCTCATGTTACAATTTGAATAAGCTGTCGAAACATGCACAAACACCTAGAGTTGGAAAATTAATATTTGTCTCAGGACAATCTAGATTTTCTACAACAAACCTCTAAATTTTTGACTTCTAAGGCAAAATTTATAGCTGTCCTTGTGCCGCCTACATTGGTTCTCATAGCAATTTCTATTGGCTCGTTAAATTTCACAGTTGCAGCAACATGGTATACTATAGAGACTGAAGTTTTCAAATCTTCGTAACTTTCTTTTGACAGCCCAAACTTTTCCGTGAAAATGTCTCCGTTTAAGACCTTCACTTTCTTTTCCAGATTTCCTGGGATTTCTTCTTTTAATTTGTTAAACAACTGAATAATAATAATAATGCATAATGTAAACTATTAGTGTCTACATTTAAATTGAAAAAATAATTATTTTCAAAACAATTAAATTTCTTAGTTAATAAATAATTAACATAATTTACCTCGAGTTTTGTTAAATTGTCCCATCTTTCCTGTGCTGACTGCCCTTTCTTGTCTCTGATTATAACATAAATGAGTCCAACATCTGGGCAAGATCTTAGCAATTTCTCAATAAGAACTTTGCCCATGAAGCCAGTTGCACCTGTGACAAGAACCTTTTTCCCAGCAAAATATTCTGTTATAGTAGCCATTATCTGAAAAATCTCGGCGTTAAAACATAAAACGAAGATTTGTTGTAATGATATTTTGACTTCATGCAAAATATTTGAAAAAATAATTTGATTAAGAATATTGCATTTGAAATTCAAGAAGTTATCCTTGACTACAATTGAACAAATTTTGAGGATTTTGGCGACAAAAGAAGATGAAATTTTTTTTGATAAAGTCACTTTTACGTACCAACAAAAATATCTTTTGATCTTTTGATCAACTTCAATCTATTGAAAATCTTTCTTCTAGATCGAAAAAATTCAAGTTGTTTTATTTCTCATGTGAAAACTTTAAATATTCTATAAATATAGCAAATTAATATTTTAAAACAATTGAGATAAAGTCAATGTCTAATTGCCTTATATTAAAACTGTTACTTACATTATTGTTAGCCTCAGGCACTCTGGTTGTTCAAATGACCAAAGAAATTGTTTAACTGAATATAGTAATGAAAAAAATGGGCTTTATGAATACAATAAAATTTCAAAATAAAAGAAATGCTAATATGTTTTATTAATTGTTGTTTCTTAATCCGAAACAATTATACATTCTGACTCCATTCATTTCACTTTTCTTTTATGATTAATTAACTGCTTAGATTTCGACCTGTTTTCAGATCATCAGTGAAAAACAATCTTTAAGATATCTACAAATTAACATAATTAATTGTTTACATTACAGTCCTTGGCAATGCTGGGATTGAGTATATTTTCGAAGAAATTTGTGTCCATTAAAAACTTATTTATGTAATTTGTAGACATCTTAAAGATTGTTTTGCCCTGATGATGGCCTTAAAATAGGTCGAAAGTTTGGCAGATAACAATCGAATTAGTTTTTTCATCCAGACCGTACCGAGGTCAGATTATTTTTGAGTATAATAAATTAATTGTGAGTAAAAAAGTGGTTGATACATCTACAACTTTAAACAAAAAATTTTCTTTTATTCTCTTAGTCGACAAGAGACTAAATACTTTTCAACTAATAATTAGGTAATGATGGTTATTAAAAATAAAAATAATAAAATTAATTTATTGTACACTTTAAAGTTTTACTATATAAATACTGTTACTAATATTTCATAATTTGAGCAGATTGTACAAATTGTGTCAATATTATTGCAATATTAATTAATATTAAACAATAGTATTTTAATTAAAACATATTAGTAAAGACTTGAGTTAGTGTTTTGACTTCTACACTTTATTTATTTATTTGATTTCCATCCTTGGTCTGAACTGTTATTATTTAGAATTATGTCTGTTATGTATGTTATTACAGGTGATTTAGTTTGTTCTGTACTTCTTCACTAACCACTGCCATACGTCAAGAATATTAATGGTGCATTTTTTTCTGGTCTTCCTAGTCTAGATGGTTTGGTTTGACCCACCACTGAAGATGATGGAATGCCTATGCCCGCCAGACAGTCATTTATCACCCAAAGATATCAATAAGCAGTCACAAAATTTAATGGATCAATATAGGACAAAAACATAGCTTTAAATATGATAAGGAAAGGGATATAACAGCGATAAAAAATATATTAGTGGTTTCAAAATGACATTTTCTGGTTGTCAGTAATATTATGCAATCATTACACTTTCTTACACAGGGCCATTGTATTTCATGAGATTAAAGAAACAACCTCAGCCATTTTTAAATTTAAATGAGAAAATCACGTTTGCAATTGAAATTTCATAGCTGATATGTTAATTAATTTCCTTGATTTTTAATTCCTAAAACTTGTATTTCTCAATCTGCATTTATTTAAAAATGATCCCTTATTCAAACATGACTGCGTATAAAAAAACAATTACAGGGCGTTTACAAATTTCTTGCCCGGTTCACGTTTATAGTTTTACATTTATTTATTATTCATTTGCTGACATTCTAGGCAATCGTGTAATCTGATTTATTCCTTCTTCAGAAACATTACCGATCAAAATCTTCTTTTTCTTCCACCAAGACAAGTCTAAAACATTAATTTATAATAAATCTTGTTTTCATTGTTTTTACAATTGTTTTTATTTTATTTAATAATATTTTTATATATTTAAATATATAACATTTTATTATCCCCCTGAAGAGAGTAACAAGATTGGATGGGATTACAGAACCAGGTACAAGGACAACTTCACTCTTCTCAAGCACCACGCTACACTTTATGAGCATTCTAGTCTATACTCAATGGCAAAAATTTATGATACAAATGTACTAATTGAATTTAAAAACAAACAGGATTTTAAAAGAAAATGCCACAACTTGGTTTCTGAAGTAGAGCTCTACCATGTGATGTCATTTATAACCCTCATCAATAAACTAAAAGGTATGCTATCAAAGCAGTATGTCGATATTGTCAGTTCTTACCTAACTGACAGACTGTTTAGAGACAAACAAGAAGATCAATATTCAAAATTAAAAACAATTAATGCAGGAGTACCACAAGGTAGCACTTTAGGTCCACTGCTTTACTTGTTATACACCAGTGATTTTCCGAAAATAGATGGAGTAAAAATTGCAACGTTTGCAGATGACACAGCAGTGATTCACTAGGACCGACTATCACCCAATCAACCAAAATCCTCCAAAATGCATGTAATAAGATAAATGAATGGGAAAAAAATGGAAAATCAAGCTAAATCAGCATAAATCAGTTCATCTAATCAACAAAAACAAAAAAGTGGACCATGTTCCGTAGCTCACAATCGATGGAACTACTATACCATACAGCGATACAGCTAAATATCTGGGAATGACCTTAGATGCCAAGCTGATATGGAAAGAACACATGAAGAAAAAAAGGACATAAATAGGTTTAAGGTATAGACAACTATACTTGATTGATAGGATGTGGCTCCAACCTTGCTATAAAAAATAAAATGTTATTATATAAACAAGTCATAAAACCTATGTGGACATATGGTATTCAAGTACGGGGTTGTACCAAACACAGCAATATCAAAACCATACAAACACTCCAAAATAAAATCTTACGTAACATGGTCAATGGGGAATAAGGACTTACATAGGGATCTTAAGATCCCTGAAGTCTCAGCGGAAATACAAAGATTTGCTGTCAAACACCAGGCTCGCCTTAGTCAGCACGAGAATGTGGAAGTGACCAAACTCTTACATAAACGAAACGTGGTCAGAAGATTAAAAAGAACAAAACCATATGAACTTGAGTAGTTAAAAATGAATAGTGAATAGTGAAATGTAAATCTTATTGTACCAATGGGTTTATAAGAATGTAAACATTTATTTATTCTATAATATTATTGTAAAATTAATGGTTGGATTAATAAGACCAGTTTTAATAAATAAATTTAATTTAAAAAAATTATAACCCTCAAAAGGCTCAATTTAAAAAACATTTATAACAATTATACACAAAAAGAATAAGGACATATATGGTATACACGGTAATATTATAAATGATAAATATAAAAATGCAATTAAAGAGTAAAAACTGAACAACAAAAATGAAAGACATAATTATTAACCAAATTAAGGCAAAGGAAACAAAATAAAGCTGAAAGATAATTGAAACTACAATATTTAGGTACATATTTAATGAAAATAATGCTCTTTGTAGATATATTATAAGACTAGAGTGCAAGATTTAGGTGAACCGGTAAATGAATTAAATTAAAAATAAATAAATGTTTAACAGTATGAAATATAAAAGCATTTAAAAAATATAAACTGGTAAGAAAATTCAACTAGAGTATGGTTGTAGGATATAGTTTTTCACAGATTGCACAGAACTATTGAAGAAGTCAATGCTATTGCAGATGTTGTTAGTCTTGATCATTATTCGGTGTAGAGGAGAAGAGAACATGTAGTTAGAGCTTTGGAATTCAATATAAAATAGTTTGTGGGTTTTGAGAGAGTGCGAAGGGACGTGTAGTTGTAACAGAGAGAGGAGAGAAGGACTATCAATGAGATTGTTTAATCATTTAAATACAAAAACAATATCAAAGTAATCTCTTCTTAGTGCCAGTTCGAAGAGTTTAAATTCAGAGCGGATTCCAGGGTAGGCAGAGTTTGGAGGAAGATTGAGTTTGTAAGAAAGTTTTTATAAAAATTTGTTTTGTACAGATTGAAGAATTTTTTGATAATTTGATAATTTAGATAGTATGGGCTCCAAACAGGTGTAGCATATTCTAGTATGGGTTGTACAAAAGCTTTATAAAGAAGGACAAAACAGAGGATTTTTAAATTCATAGGTGTTCCGGATGATGAAACCTAGCATCTTCATAGATCTATTTTTTATTGAAGAAATATCTTTAAACTTGAGCTTTTGATCAAAAAGTACACCAAGATCCTTTACGACCTCAACTCGCGTTAAAAGAGAATCATGGAGAGTGTAGTGATAAAGAAAAGGTTGTTTCTATAGATTTTCAGATCGTCAGCAAATAATAAAAATTGAGCAGAATGGAGAGCAAGATGGATATCATTAATAAATAAGAGAAACAAAACCGGTCCGAGATGAGGCCCTTGCCCCCCTCCCCAAAGTTGAAGGAACACTGGGGAGTATATCTTGTTAAAAAGTTTATACAAGAACAGAGCTTCAAGCGTGGAACATCGAGATTCAAGTGAAATTAAACTTAGTTGCTGCTGCAGGATGTCAATGGGAACACATAATAGGATATACTCATTTTGCTGCAGCCTATCCACCTAAGAGATTAGTGCTGAATTTGTTCTAATAATTTAATACAGGAGTTTAGTATGGGGACGAGATTAAGGAGCAATATTCTAATAGAGAATGGACAAGGGAAGTATATAGGGGAATACGAATAGGAATAGAGGTAAAAAAGGTTGCCATAGGGCCTTCTGCACTTTGACCTAAGATCTATTGTGCTCCTCTATATTTTATAATTCACTGAACTGCTTCAGGTTGTTAATCAACCTCCATAGCTAATGACTCCTTAGTGTTTACAGCTTTTCCTCGCCTAATTGCAAGAATCTAATAGACCTTCACAATAACTCAAAACGTGTTCTGCGGTCTCCTCTTCTTCCTGGCAGTATCTGCGCGGTGTTTCTTCTGTCTGTACCCTATCCGGTGCATGTGCCTTCTTAGGCATCAGTGCCTTGTCATGGGCTTAACCAGAATTCTGGTTCTGTTGCAGTTGCCATCCAGTAATTCCTTTGTAAGTCTTGCAGATGGCCCTTCTATGAATCTCTTTGTGAGTCTCATACCTGGGGTATGGTTCCATCAGGTTTTGGACTCATTAAGGATCCATTTTTGGATGTGTCCTTTTTTGTGGCAA